GCAGGGGTATTCAAGATTTCAAGTGAATGATAATGTGCGTATTATTCGTTTATTTCTTCGTGTTTTCTTCAATTCTCTTGGTATTTTTTATCCAAACTCTGGAAGCTGCAAGAAAAATAAATATATTGTATAAAATGATCAGCTTAAATATTGAATGATTGAATGATTGTTTTAACTAAATTATGAAATAGATTTCTGATGGTAACAATATTCAGTTCAATTAAAATCAAAGATACATTTTATTGACCATTTATTAAAGTATAGTATATGAAAACGCAACAAAAAGAATAGCATGAAGCATATACTAAATTCCATTGTTTCAATTACAAGATCATGTTGCAATCATGAATATATCACCATAAATGAAAGAAAGAGAATATAGCAGAAAGATATTTTGTTAGTGGAAAAATAGCAAAACAATAATACTTAGGCCTATGATAAACCGATTCACGAACTAAAATATATAGGGCCTAGACATATTACATTTTTCGTTTTCGCAACTCCTTCAGCGCTCCATATATTTGTTCGAAATATACCGCGACCGAAACGAAGCGCGACCGAAACAAAGCGCGACCGAAACGAAGCGCGACCGAAATGATCGGCTACCGATAATTTCAGGTAAAATGTTAATTTAACTTATTTTAAGTTTTGTTTAGCCGAGTTCAGAGCTAGGCCTAGCCTAGCCTACCCGGTTCGCATACAGTACCCTCCTTTCTTTATTCTGGCCTATACGCTATATACATCATGATAATTCCTTGACCTTTCTGCTTATGCACGTTGCCCCCTCCTCGTCGGCAATAAAGTAGACAAGCTAGGAAGCTAGGACTAGGTACAGAGGCCAAGGCCTGGCCCTTTAGAGCATTATAATACTGAAATTTAAATCTAATTTAATAATAATATGTCAAAAATAAATGTGCCTGATTGATGGCGTACATGTTTTTTTTTTTTTTTTTTTATTTATTCCGAATAATTTAGTAGCAATTTATATTACTTATGCATCTATTTTAGGATGAATCGGGAGACATTCTCGTATCTTGTTCGTGAACTGCAGCCGCATATCGGAAAACAGTGTACAAACATGAGAAAAGCATTGATGGCTGAACATCGACTAGCGATTACTTTATATCGGCTCTCCTCTGGCATGTCCTTTAGAGCTATTGCCAACCAGTTTGGGGTAGGGAAATCTACAGCCTGTAATATCTACCATGAAGTGTGTGCTGTTATAGAGCAGGAGTTGATGCCAAAATCTATCCGGTTTCCAGAGCGAAAAGAATTACTGGTATGTAATGTCTATACATGCTAATGTAGTGTATTTTTAAAGTAATTTTAAAATGTCATAATTATTAGTTTTCGAAACTCAGTGCCGATGCTTATATGACTACACAAAAATGCACAAAGTAGTTAATTAATGCATTATGTGTATGCTATATAGGCCTACTAAAAAATATCTAGTGGAAAATGTACAGGCTTTACTTTTCAAAAGCAAATTTTATCTACCTCACTTATTTGTTCAATCTCACTAATATAATTTCATGTCTTTTGTTACTTTAACAGCTGAATGTGGAGAAGTTCAAGATGAGAGGAGGTTTTCCTCAGGTGGTAGCTGCCATTGACGCTTCCATATTCAAATTATTGCCCCAGATGAGCAAGCACAAGATTATTTCAATAGGAAGCAGTTCTACTCAATAAATCTCCAGGCATGTGTTGATTCAAATGGACTTTTCTGCGACACATTCGTTGGAATGCCTGGTAGCGTTCATGATGCTCGTTTGCTAAAAAGATCTGCTTTATACACAAAACTAAAAAATGGAATGCTATTCAGTGTTAACAGACCAGTGCATGTGCAGGATGTTGAGGTACCTTTAATGTTAATCGGTGACCGAGCATATCCCCTAATGAAAAATCTTATGCGACCCTATTCCGGGCGAAATAGATTAACACCAGCGCAAAATCGCTTTAACTACAAATTGTCCCAGTGCAGGGTTGTGGTTGAGACTGCCTTTGGTAGATTAAAGCGGAGGTGGCGGCGGCTCCTTAATAAAAACCAACATGACCTAAGGAATTTGAGACATGTTATACAAACATGTTGTGTACTGCACAACATTCTGGAGAGTAACCGTGTCCCCTACAGTACAAACAACATTGGAACAAGGATGTCCCTGTAGAAGGACCAACCAATGATCCTTGGCCGTATGACACCACAGGGGAAAGAATAAGGGAAGCCATAAAAGAAGAATTAACGCATGTAGATTAGGATAACAATGCATTTTGGATAATAATCAAACATATGAAATTTTGGATGCCAAAATATCTGTCATTTGTTTAAAATAATTTGTTTTGAAATTAAGAAATTGAAAAGGACATAGTTGCTGTTGCCTTTGTTTACAGTATTTCACTCATTCATCAATCAGTACACATTGCATGATTCTTTTGTCTTTGGAAGCAAGCTTAATTTATTAAACAATAACAAAAAAATTTACAACTACATGACATGGCAACCTTTCCTTTATCACTACAAACCCAACCCAAAAATGTCAAATAAATAAATGTTCAACCCCTATTATGGGGATCTTTTTTTACAGAACTGTACATATCACACTATATAAATTAAAAATGTAACAATATTTCACACAATTTATTATTTTGATGACGTCCGAGCTGGGGCAGATGCAGGATTTGGCTGTACGGGGTGCGAGTCCACACCATCTCAGCGCCAAAATGGTTGTGGGTAAGGCATGAACATTTTAAAAATACGAACCCAGATATTGCACTTTCATAACTTTAAAATCTAACTGGTACTGTAATTTATATTAAAAAAATACAACAACAATCCATTTATATAAATATTATTTGGAGGGGGTGCGATCTCCTGCATCTGCCAAAGCTGAGAAATCAAATCTTGATTTTTTAAAAATGGTATTGCTAGGAAAACTGTGGCTAATAAATTCTAAATACAACAGAGAACATAACAAATAATTTTACTGTAAACAGTGCATCAATGGGATGGATAAATGCTTTAAATTTAAATACAGTATAATTAATGAGTCAATGGTCAATAAATGATGAACTGCATACTGTATATATACAAGACTAGATTTGAGATAAAGTTAATAATTGTTACTATTCAAGTTGCCCAAAAAAGGATTTGGAAACAGGTTGGGATGAAGCTGCAATTACCGTGGTTGTGCTGACACCCTTCTTTCCAATACAGCCAGCAACCGCTCTTGGTGTCTTTAAGTTGTGGCGACATAGTTCTGCTGTAGCTTTAAACCTTCATTAAGCGTATTATGCAGACAGCTTATTGCTGCTCTTTCCTCTTCAGCAATTTTCTTTACTTGCTCCATTTGCTCCTTCATTGTTGACTTCCAGAATCTATTATTTTCCCTCATCTGGTCCTTTAAATGCTTTGCAAGTGACCAAACATTTTGTTCACTTTTGGGCAGCGTACCAGTGTTTCTTCCCTTTGCCACTAAAATATAGGAAAATTTGTGCTTTTATTATACAATATAGGAATTATTGCAAAATAAAAATATAAAATTCATAGGGAAATATAAAGAAATTACCATACATATAATTAAAAAAAAAACGGATAACAGGGTAAAACAAGTACAGTAAGTAAACACATACTGTACAGTATTTGCTGTGGCAACTGCTGATACCAAACACTTTTGATCACTTATTTTATATTTTTGAGGTACATGGACATAACATTTTAAAACTAAAAGCTAATTTGTTATTTTTAAAAAATGAATTGTCACAATGTCTGGGGATTCTAGCAGGGATGTAGTTATGGTGGGCGGGGACACCCATCCTTGAAGTTTTCCACCCAGTCTAAAACTAATTTCATGGCCCTTCCAACCAACGTTATTAACCCACTTTTCCATCCGTTTACTAATGTTATTACCCACCCATCCTTAAAATGTCTTATCTCAACCACCCTTAATTTTCTACAGCTACAACATAGTTAAGTAATATCGAGAAAGTTATACCCATCATGAATAAAACACAGACTCACATCTTTTGATAGGAGTTTGTTCTGCATCTGAAACAGCACCTTTATCGGCTATATTAATGATGTCTGCTTCGGGTCTTAAAGTAGTAGGCATACTAGCATCGTCATTGTAGCTTTCATCTTTAAAAAATTTGAAAATAAAATGGGACAATGAGTACACAACGTAAGTAGAATTATCCCACCTACCTTTTTAGCTGCACTAATACTAACAAATTTCCTGTACAGTAATAATACAATTTGTATTTTTCTGTATTCAAATTTTGTTTTTTTTTTTGTTTTTTTTAAATTCGACAGTAAATTCATCATGTGAACAGTGTAAATTCACCAAAAAAATAAGATTTAATTCAATCATGAAATCCTATAAGTTCTGTATTTTTAAATAACTTACCACTTTCCAGCCTCTGTTTACTAGGCGTTGATGTATCGGACAGAGCACCCGAGAAAAAGGCAAATAGTGGTGTAGAGTACATAATAATTTGTTGTAATTGAATGTTTATAATGTCATTAAACATCAGGGATTTTAGCGATATTATACAGAAATAAAGACTGATCAAAAATGAATTACAGTAAACCTAATAACTGACAACACTGTATCTCACTTTAATTTATTTCTTTGAATGAAATGTTTTATTAAAAAATAACTAAATGAATGGCGAATTTAAATGTCAGATGGATTACCACAACTTTGTATTTTAAACTTCTTTATTTGGATGTTTACTGCTTTTATGTTGTTTCCCCTGATCCTTTTATTATTGAATTTATATGTTGTTATATTGTTATTGTAGGCCTGTTATTACTTTTATTATTATTATTATTATTATTATTATTATTATTATTATTATTATTAATGTTTTTCGCATCTTTACTTCTATGAAAAAATGCTGTAGCCTCATTTTGTGTGTATTTTTAAGATTTATTTATTTATTTGGTTTATTGCCGTTTCGACTTATTGCCGTTTTGGTTCATGCCATTCTGCTGAAAATGTGTTACAGTTTTGGTTTCTTTGCCGTTTAGTTCATTGCCCTTTGGACTTATTACCGTTTTGATTGATTGCGTTTTAACTAGAAAGCCACCTAAGTATATTTATTATTAGGGTTAGAGTGCCATTTGGATTTCCATTTATACAGTAATGAAGGTTATTTCTTACCATCGAAACATATTGCACACCTCACGTCTACACCATAACCTTCTTCTATAACACTTGGACCGTCACCTAAGCATGGTGGTATAATATGGACAGGCCTTCTGCATTCAAAACACTTGTGTGAACCACATTCCTTCGTGCACACCATACATATGGGTCCTAATTGAAAAAGAAAAGAATTTTATTGTAGTTATTATTACATATTCACAAATTCATTATAATGATTTTATCAATCTGACTTCAGCTTCATATTATTTCTTCTAAAGGTATAAATAAATAATGAATTTTGAAAATTATTCTAGGAGGACAAGGACAGGTAATCAAGATATTATGCTAGCCTTACTTAGCCTAATTCTAATTTTAAATAATTTATTGTATAATAAATTCTGTTAAGAGGTACATAATAACAAAAACAAATGACATATGCGGCCCTAGGCACCCTACCTAGGCCAAGGTAATTCAACAAAAGGACGCACATCTCGGGCAAAGATACTAGAAATACAAGATAGAGTTCTCGCATTGTAAAAATGAGGCGGAAGTCGTGCCCAACGTAGGCGGCGCCCTTCTTTTTAACCATGCAAGTTTCCTATACTTCGTGCCCAACGTACAGGGCGCCCTTCTTTCTCCCTTAATCACACGGATTTTTTTTCTTCGTTTTTCAAGTACTGTTATATAGGATTCTAATTATATACCCTAACATATAACATGTACCCTTAATTGTAATTCGTTCTCTATTCATGCTACATCCATCCAAATATAATGCTCAATATTAAAAATAAAATTCTGTCTCTTATACACATCTGGGTTCTGTATTTATTCACTTCTAATAATATATTTTATATTAATGCAATCTTCTTTATTCCATTGATGTAGGCCCTACACTGAAAAAGAAAAAAAAACATACTGTATACGAGTTTGACAGAAAATAAAAATAAAAAGGCCTCTGCGGGAAAACTAAAACAGAACAGACGGCATGTGATGATCGAAAAAAGTAAACAAGCGTGTGCGAAAAGAATTATGGGAAAATATAACCCCTGACCTCATTGGAATTGCGCACGTCTGATTGGTTAATGATGGTAATAAGGTCAACTTGCTAACCGTTAGCAATTGCTAACGGTTAGCGCTAACCGTTAGCGCTCGGTTAGCGCTAACCGATCGGGCGTTCTCACGCAGGTGCTAACGGTTAGCGCTAACGGTTAGCTCCCGATCCGGATATTAGGGCTCTCTTGAGAACCAGGCCAGAGAGAGTTTGGCTAACTTAGCGCATGGCGCCCCAATAATGTCACCAAACAGCGTGCGCGCGTATAGCTTTATAACACTTTATAACACTGATGCTGCATAAATTTTCTTTCATTATTCTGTTCATGAGGACAATTCAATTATGGGATTTTAATATATCATTGTAAATATCATATAATCATTATTTATCCAAGGCAATTCAACAGAAGGACGCACATCTGCGCTCTCGAACACAGAGCGTGCGTACAGTCCTTTGATCTTTACTGTGGCATCGACAATCCGATACTAGTTGCGAGTACAGCCGTCAATTATTAGTCTATGCGTGCCATACGTTTTATGGTGTTAGTTACTATTTTAATAATTTTGGGTACTTCTCAATCTCTGTTACATCTGATTTCTTTTGACCGCGAGCTTGTTAAATGCTTCTAAAAACTGTAATTTATTTTGTGAAAATTCACCACGAAAAGTTATAGCAATTGAAATTTTACGAATTTTATAAAATTTAATTAAACTGTCATTTTGACAATGTTGGACTAAGGTGCACAGAACGAACATTTGAGTAGATACAGAAAATTTATTAATTTTTTCTGCGAGTCTCATGAACACCACAACATCGGTAAAATTATTGTTGAAATGAAATATATGATTTTAGTCTAATGTTAGAACGTTATAATAACTTACGCAAAATACTTACAAACATGTTTATCACAAATAAATCACAACGTTCACAGAAAGTTATCTCACAATAAAAAATGACCACCACTTTATTTCAGCAATTATTTACATATAGAAAGACCAAACCAAAGACCAAAGACTAAAAAAAAAAACTTTGTAAGGATTTTTTGTACTGACAGTGACATGCTTAATTTTCAACTTGAGATTATGATTTTCCTTAATAGCTATCCATCACTTTATTCCCAATCCACTCAATATTTTTTTTAAATTATTAACTTTATGAACAAAGTAAATCAAAACCAAGAATTTCAATTTCATTAACAAAACAAAAATAATTTTTAATAGGCCTACACAACTATTTCACCTAGTTGGTGAAATCATTGTTTTATTCAACCTAAAAATATATTGATTTTGAATATCCTTTCTTGGACAGTACTAATTTTTTTAATTAAAAAAAAAAGAAAGAAAAAACATTCCCGGTTCTAGACCAATTTTTTTTTATTTTGGTCAACAATTCAGGCGGGGTTGGTGGCACAAAACAAGTATTTTGTTAATTTTTAATTGTAGTCAAATTGTTTCTGTACTAGCTTATTGTATATTGTTAAATAATAATATTGAAATTTCTATTAACATTTTAAGGTTTTCCCATTACTTTTTTATTTAGAAAAAAAAAAAAAACCGCAATAGTCAAATTAACACACAATGTAGGCCTACAGTTCTTTATTTCCAGTTTAAAAAATTATTGTCCCCTAAAAATTTCAAACAAAATCATATAAAACTTATTAACTTGAGCATAAAAATCTGTGAATTTTAAAATGTGTACCCTGATTTTTCTTGAAATCGCCATTTCTATTGTTGACTTTTAGATTTGTTATTTTTTAATCATGTTTGTCATTATTCTTAACGACGAAATGTTCTTAGTGTTTCTACGACGAAATAAACGATGTCATATCAGTGGCAGATCCATGAATTTGAAATAGTTTGTCCCAGAGAGTCGCTTTCACTGATACAGGGTCTATACAGGAGCAGCCCTCATGGCGTAGGTTTGTTTGATAAACTGAGATTTGCAAAGGCCTTAAATAATAATAGTAAACATAGGCAAAATTGTGAGCTATTACAGTAGAAAGCTCCTTTGGGACGCACTTGGGGACACTTTTCCGTGAAATGAGGGGCAATATAATTATCTTTTAATACTACGACCAACTCTTATTTAATAAGAGGACGGAGACACATACTTAGTGTGCCACATGATCAAATAACCCTATTAAAGGGAACACTTCATTTGTCTTTCATTGTGTCAGAACAGCTACAGCAGTCTTAAAATAAGAAAAATTCATTCAACTTTATAATTTTAACACCTTTTGAGCAACAGACTAGAATTTTCTCCACTGAATCTTTGAGTGAACACTTTCTCCCTTAATCACACGGATTTTTTTTCTTCGTTTTTCAAGTACTGTTATATAGGATTCTAATTATATACCCTAACATATAACATGTACCCTTAATTGTAATTCGTTCTCTATTCATGGTACATTTATCCAAATATAATGCTCAATATTAAAAATAAAATTTGGTCATTAACATTGCATCATGAAATAATATGTGGAACATAAAACACTACTGTTGTTTGAATTACATTTCTGTTCATTTCATATTTTTATGAATTGTATTTGCATTGCAAAATTGCTATAAATTAGGCCTACTTCTAATTTTTAATTTAACTGATTCTTATGTCAATAAAAACATGCTAAAAACCCGTATTGAGACAATTTCACGTTTTTAGTTTGTGTCCTCTTTTATGGGGACAATTTTTTTAGTCCATAAGGATGTATTTGGCACAACTATAGAAATGACACATGTTGATAAAATCGTAAGTGTTTGGAGGCTAAAGCCTGTTTACTCCTGTCAACATCTTCCACCGATGAATTTCCTTGAATGAAGTGATCCACCAAATCACACGCACGTATAGATGAATTGCTTGAAACCGATGTATACTGTAGTGCATATTTTTCGATGGATGGACTTGTGTTGTAAAGTTAAGCTTAGCTTAGCTTAGTCGACGCTTTTTTTAATACCTTGTTTAGCGCACCTAATTTTTTAAAAATCTTCAGCGACGGGCGGAAAAAGATAAAAATAAAATTTTATTTTATAATTTTTGCAAAATATTCCTGCCAAAAGTATTCCAGTGGAGGAGGGGAAAATAAAATTTATTTGCATATATAAATGTATGAATTTAAGGAGAGGCAGATAACATAGGGATAGTACCTTGTGTGTGTCGCGGTCGATCACAGGCCCACACCTCTGGTTCTTAATTTGAAGGGCCAAATTAGTTTTAGATTTGGTCACAGGTCAAAGAAAATCTTCGAGTTTCAAGCCACTTACTATACTTTATGGACCTAAAGTAAAATTTTG